AGGTGAAGGGTCAACTGTGGGCTTTGTCCTTCAAAATGTAGGGGCAACAGGTATAAGTACAAAACTAATCGGAATCAAATGGAATATACTTTATGGATACTAGCAAAGTACTATGTGAAGATAGATATAAAAGATCAAGAAAACCTTTAGAGAGTTGATTGAACATTTCAGGATATAGGCAGAATTGGGTAGGAAAGGAAAAGAAACAATTCTAAATCAAGGAAGGTAAGGACAGAGTGTAAAATGAATCTGAGTTCTGATCTACATAGAACTGGCATGCATCAATTAGAAATGTTTCAGCTGAAAGTAACAGAATCCTTGACTAACAGAACTTTAAGTGATTGTCTAAGAAATGCTCAAAGGTACATGGTTACTAGCATATATACAGGGCTCAAGAATGTCATCTGGTAGACAGGTTCTCTCTATTTTTCTTTTCTGACATCTCTGACAGACATTTTATTTTTTTCATCTTTACACTTTTTACCTCATAGGTGGAACACCACTCCATAGATCCAGATACCACTAGCTAGTTTTCAACAAGAAAAAAGGGGAAGGCTCTGACAAGAATTTTCCTTTGATCAGGGAGAAAAAAATTCCGAAGTGTCCCAGATTTTCTATTATATCTTATTGGCCTAAACTGGGTCACATGAACATCTTCAGAAGAAAGGCTGGAAAATATCAGAAAAGAAAGGAGTGACATGAAAGGAGTAGAAAAAATTACCATTCTTTTCCTGGAACTAATCATATTGTTGGCTTAAATATAATCAGCGCTCTATCAGCAAGAAAGAGGACTAACCAGTCATTAGGTAAGTAACTCACAATGACTACAATCTCATTTTTTTAACTTTAATCCAAGTAACAAGAAGCATTCTAGAGGGGGAAAAGAAGGCTTCTAAAGCGACTCAATGAAATCTCTGGTTTATTGTCGACTTATTTATTCTACCCTTTTAGGCTTTAAGAGAATCTATCACTATTACTGAGAGTGATTGACTTTCAAAACCTCCACTCTGCTTCTTCCTATGGCTTTACAGATTTCACCTTATATTAAAAATTAAAATTTTAAAGTAAGGCTAAAATTTTATTCACATAAACACTCTCTCAATACTGATACACTGCACACATTTGAAAGTTAGTGAAGAAATCACTATTATCCCTTTTTTAAGCCTCACAAGGTCAATCATTCATTCCACAAACGACAAATACTTTGACAAAGCCAGTATCTCATCATCCAATACCTACTTTGACCAGTGGCCTCTACTCAAGTTTATATTTATAAAGAGGCTTGCAGACATGGTTCTCACTTTAACTGGGACCTCCCGGGGGGTGCAAAGGGTTAAAGCACAGCACTATGAAGCTATCCACAGCCACTGCAGTATGTGTTCAATCCCCAGACAGGCAGGTGACCCATATGGCACAGCAGACCTTTCCTGTTTCACCTGCTGCTCCCCTCAGCAGTGTCTTTCAGTGAATCTGCCTATTCTGTTCCCTACTCTTTTCTGATTAATCCTCTTACCATCCCCGTATTTGTGGCCTATACCCCACTTCTTGTATGCATAAATAAATCAATTTTAAAAATTCTGAGGAAAATAGCCCCTTCTTCCACTTGGAAGATGGTATTCTTCACTATGCAAGTTTTTTGAGTGTGCACCTGTCACACATGTCACAGGGAGAAACTATAAATCATCCCACTCTGAATCTCTGGCTGACTTCTGAGGAGAGGAAGAAAAGTTTGTTTTCTTACAGACTCAACAATCTCTCCTCAGGTTCTAATCAGAGCAAGAATCAGACTGATGCCTATGTCTCACTTTCACCCTTCCCTGAATGAGCAGGGAAAAAAAAAGAAATTCCCTTGAGAACTAAAATGAAAGAAATAAAAAGATATAATAGGAAAACATAGGGCTGGAGGTAATGAAAGAAGCAGGAGGAAAGAGGTAAGACTTGAAATGTGCTTACAGTCTCCACTCACCATCTCTCTTGGTACCCCTACATAATGAATAGCACTGCTTCATGCTTTAAAATTTTTAGACCTTTGACACAAAGTCCTCTCTCAATTCCTCCTTATTAATAAGATCCTCCTGTATGACCAAGAATAACCTGAAAGGGAAATTCATTTAAGAGGCTGATTAATAACAGAAAAGTTTAATAGATATGGGGGCACTAGATCTCAGAAATTACTTGGTCTGAATTAATGGATGGAGGAAAATACTACTACTGAGTACCTTCAACCAGTGGGGGAAGCCTGGACTTCCGTGGCCACAGAGGGAGGCTGAGGCTCAACTAAACAGGGCAAAGCATAATTTGTGCCAAGTTAGGGCACATCTTATCATTTGAAGCGTAGGTTTTTCAAGCACTATTAGAATGCTTGCTTGGGCTGTGGTAGGGGCACAAAATTGAACAGAAAAGTTGTAATGCTTATGTACCAGTGAAAAAGTACATATTATATTACATATGGCCTAACAGCTCCGGTATGGACTAGATTTATATGATCACTGAACTTTTCAGATCTGTAGGCACAAAGGATAACACTCAACATATTATTTCACAGAAGACACATTTGAAGGAGAGAGGTGGGGAGAATACGGAGAAAACAATAAGCAATAAAAAGATAAGTTTGGCCCTCCCTGGTGGCGCAGCGGGTTAAAGCACAGCACTGAGAATCTACAGCTGCTTCCGCATGAGTTCGATTCCCGCCTGCCCCGAGGTGACCACACTGTGTGACAGACCTCTCCTGACCCGCCCGCTGCTCCCCTCAGCAGTGTACTTCATCGATCTGCCTGTTCTGCTCCCCACTCTGTCTCTGGTGAAGCCTCTCACTGCCCCTGAGCCTCTGGCCTGTACCCCAGTTCTGCATGCAAAAATAAATAAATAAATCTTAAAAAAAAAAGAGAGAGATAAGTTCATGCCCTTCCAAGTCAGGTGATGTAATGGGTCCACTGAGACTAGTCTCCTGAATTAAAGGCCCCAGTTTCAAAGAAACACCTCTCTCCACATCTGTGCAATTATCTTCTAAACTTTTCTGCTAAGACAAGAAGAACTGTCCCTGGAAATGTTTACTCCGCTTTCAAGACCCTTGGAGAGCACCTCCTGAACAAGAACCAGCAAAGGGCTAAATGGGCTCACAGTCAAGGGGCACAGTTGGGAGGTAGACCCAGCCACCACAAGAAAAGCAGCAGGCACAGACTGCAGAGTAGGGAGGGGGTAACATATGACTAGACATAAAGACCCTAAGGAGAAAGGAGAGAGAAAGACAGATGAAGAAAAGAAAGTCACATTTCAGTATCTAAGGCAGTGGATACAAAGTATTAATTTTTGTCTTCAGTCCTTCAATGTGAAACACACATTCTTACCACATCTATGAGCACTGGGGTACCGACTGCCTTACTATATATATAGTGTGTGTGTGTGTGCATGTGTGTGCATTATATATGTTATATTTAATACCATATATATATACCATATATACATATATATACACACACCACATATATACCATATATGTATATATATATAATACCACATATTACACCACATATATATTACATATATATGTGGTATTATATATATACCATATTATATAATATCATATATGTTTGTGTATGTATGTATGTATGTATGTATGTGTGTGTGTGTGTATATATATATATATATATTATATACCATAATAGAGAGAGGGAAGATTGGGAGGTGGGGTGGGAGAGAGAAAGACCTAGAACACCTGCTACATCCTGGCCAAGTTCCTGCCCCTCTTCTGCTTCCAGAAACTACACACTGATGTTAGTGTCATTTCTTTTCATAGCTACAAAACTATTATAAAGCCTGAAACTACAGCTGGAAATTCTACAGGCTTAACCCCAAGGTCTCCACAGCCTAGCTTGAGGAAAGTACCACACAGAATCCAAGTCCACATCCATGATCTAATGGTCACTTCAGGCCCTGACACTCCTTGTTAATTCCACAGAAAAGAATGCAGCACTAGCTAAGTAACCAATAAGAAAGGGCTACTATAAAGAGAAAGGTACAGAGCTGAGAAGAAACTGTAAGAACAGACTCCTGGGCACCCACAACTGAACTAACCTTAATTAAGGGATTTTTCAAGATAGTCCCAGACCAGCTTTAAGAAAATATTCACCTTTTATTGTTTTTCTTGTATATTTTTCTTGGACATTCAATTTAATTTACCTAAATTATCTAGTTATCTAGAATGGTTAGAGAGGAGATAATAAGCATCAAGAGGCCAAGGTGTTAAGGGAGATAAAATTCATCTGCTATCTTAGTAAGGTCACAATTCAGAAACTTTTGCCTTATGGACCAAAGAAAAACACATTCATTCAAAACTGACCTAATCATTCTGTCAAACTACTTTCTACCAATACATACATACATAAATACATACATATATAAATCATAGGGAGAATTCAAGAAGGTTATAGGCTTGGTGGCTTATTTGGTTCAAATGCAAGAGCCTGGGGACACCGCTCTCAGTGGGCATGTCCAGCCCCTTTGGCCCTGCTGAGAAGTCTCTTCACTGTTACCACAGAGGAGGCTGTGCTATAACCAAGTGGAAGAAGCCCCTGGAAAGTAAAGAAAACTAAATCTCACTAACAATGCTTTGGATTTAGAAAGCATTGAGGGATGTGATAAAATGTGAGCATTACCAGTTCTGTTGGCACTGATAATTAAGTCAGATGTTGGCCTAGACCCAACCACAAGGAAATGAATAACAAAATACTCTGTGAGAGTTGATTGATTTGGATTTCATCACAAAAATACATTCAATAAAAATAAGTAAACTATAAATTCTGAAAACAAAGAACAAAAGGTAAAATTCTAAATTAAATAACAAATGAGTAAATAACAAAAGAAGGCAACAAAATTAACTAGATACCAATTCAGTGACAATGTTTACAGGTAAATGAGAAAGTTACAGAAGTGATGAAAAAAGATGAATATAAAAAGATAAAATGGACTAAAACCATTTGGTAAAAAAAGAAGTTAGAATCTAACAGATTTGAAAACAGTGTGTTATCTTGTGACCTCAGCTTCACTTGGTTAGTCCTAGCTCCTAAGTTACATCAATACAGGAAATAGTGGTGAAACACTGTTAACATTACTTCTCCAATCCACCGTCCTTCAGTCTACATATCAATGTCACTGCTTTCAATTTGGGTGGAACCTTGCCTAGACAGCATTTCTTCAGCATATAAATACACCAAAACCATGCTTTGGAATGGAGACTGATTTGCTTTTACTAAAGATGCCAAGTTGTGATCAATACTTGGGTTAGTTTGAGGTAGAAAGATAATTTATTTTGATTGCCTTCAGTACCACAAACAAAATTTCTTGTGTCTGCTCAAACAATTACACTTCGAGGTCTGTTTGGATGAAATCAAATTAGACTTCTCTATTCACCATTGCAAATTAGTAACTAGTCATTGAAGTTACAGTGCATCCATTATTATATTCTACTTCATCATGGTTATTTCATTTTACATTTTTAATGAAATAAAAGATGACAATAAGTTGTTTAAAGAAGCAAATTGTAGAAATGAACATTTTGATCAGTTAAAATTTTACTAAAAAATCTCATCAAATATCAGTAGAGTTTGTCAATACCATAGTCTTAATGTCAGTGAAAATAATAACTTGTAGATTAAAATGCTTTTCTTCTAACCTAACAGGAAAAATATTATTAACATAACTTTTACAGAGAAATTACGAGGTGTGGATAGCAGCACTTTCTTCACTGCCTTAACACTTTATTTAAAAAGTAAACACAGTACCAATCATCAGGTTGATTCCAGTGAATAAAAACTTAAAACTTAATTTATTAATCAATTTTGAAGTATGAAACCCAAACCATTCTTTAGCAGTATTGGCTAATAGACAAGGCAATTCTAAAAAGTTAGTCACAATACGAAATTTTAACCAAATTAAAGTGGTTACCATGGTACCACAGTCTGTCTTTTTGTTGGGTTTCAATTTGCCATAACAACCAAGGATAGAATTACATATAAATAGAAGTATACAGGCTTGAAATTGAAGATGGAGGATTAAAGTTTAGGTTATATTTCTTGTTGCAACACAAGTTCTAGTGCATAATTAATTCACAACAGCTTATAACTTTTCAGCAACAAAATTATATTAAAAAAATATACCATAATCCCTATATGCTACATTAAGTATAGATATCACAATCACTTCAGCCTTTTATTAAATTTAGAAAAGTATAACTTTTCCCTGAAAAACTCCTCAGAGTGATCATATTTCAATCACAGCTTTCCTGAACTATCTTCCATAATTGGCAGTGACTATGTTTTGTCATTTTTTTATTCTACAAGAGTAAATATGGTGATGATGACTTTTTGAAAAAAGACTAGAGAATCTGAATCTAATTATTGAAATGAAATTTTTAACCACCACTGATTTTTTTGTTGTTTGTAGTTGTGAAACAGCCATTTTATAGGTAAAGCTGTTAAAAGGGAATAAATATGCAGATTTACCAAAAATTTTTGTTCTGTAGGATATTGATCCCTTCTGAATTAACAATGGCATACAAATCAGCTATAAAGAACTCAGACATATTATAAATGAAAACAAATAAAATAAACTTTCAGGAGGTTTTAAAGGTAACTTCATTTGTTTTGAAATACTCAAGTTGATGCTTCTTTAATGATTAAAGCATACATTTGAACTTTATCAGACATCAATTTCTACTTGCTCTTAACCTGGTATTAGTACATATAATAAGATAGATCTTGGAAAGGGATGAAGTTATCAGTGGAAGAACATGGATACCACGGCACTGACCCAAACAATATGAGAGCTGTCTTTGTATCCCTGAAGTCAAAATGGCCACTTTCCACATTAAATTGCTCTATACTAAAGCAACACTGTGAAGAATTACTTCATGTCCATAATATTTTACTATTATAGTTACCAATTCAAAAGTTAAAAAAAATACAGATCAAATTCATGTACCCGTGATCCTTTACATCCTAAAATGAAGAAATACTCTTAGTTGTAACTAAGAATTACATTGGAATGAACTAAAAACATCTTTTAAAGTAATTTTAAGTATATTCTTAGTTGTCACTACATTTCTATATAGATTATTTAATATTGCTGTGGTCATAATTTAATCAATAATATATCGTAATGTCAATCACTACAGTGATCCCAAATCAGATTCTGGCTACCGGGGAGCTTAATTATTAAGCAACACCTTCCTAAAAAGCTTCTGTGTTTCTGATTGGTAAGAAAAACAAAAAAAGAGCATCTCTCATTGAAATAACACTGAAGTTCAAGCTCAGGCCCCCTTTCTTGTGTTCAACCTAATTAACTTTTCAGGATAAAAGAATGAACCATTAAGTCACATTAATAAATTACAATTCTCTTCAAGAAAGTTCTACGGGCATCTCTGGTGTTACAGTTGTATATCTTGGATCCAACCTGGGGATGAAATCCTGAAAATGTTTAGATGCACTAGTACCAAAAACATCAAGGACTTTTCGGTTCATGACAGCAAATCTGTAAAACAGAGGACACAGTGAATAAGCATTTAATGAAGTTTATAAAGTAAAGTGACTCATTCCATTTGACTTTGCTTTCATGGAGTGGGGAAACAGAAAAGACTAATATGACAAATGCTCTAAACTCTACTCTTTTTCAAGATTCACTGTCTCATATTTTATTCAAAATATGAATATTTTATTCAAAATATGGGGTTTCATACCTGAAACCCCAGAGATTACCAGCATTATTTCCAACCTACTAGATTGTTTCCTTTCTCCTAGATTGTGCTAAATAGAAAAATAGACTCTTGATAATTTTTCTGGTGAAATCACAGAAAACCAACTAAAAATATGAATTTGCTAACATTTACTAATGAGACAAAGACATTAAATGCAATTTTGCTTGTTAAGTGACATCTTAATGTCTACAATCAACAAGAACACCTCCAAATAGGGAAATGTTTAATAATTAGCAGGCAAACAACAATTGGATCTTAATTCCCTTAACAGACATAACAAAGGAAAAACATATTTTATTCACCATCTAACCTATGAGACAGAAAATTTTAAAAAGGACACACATTTATGATATGCACAATGGACCTTCTCTGTGCATGATCACAAGCATGTCCTTTCTGGAGAAAACAGCAGGATGAAATTAGTTTTGAGTCACTGGCCAGGATCATTTTTTCCAAGGGTTGAAAAATGTGATTTTTAATTTGCAAAACAACCAGTTGAATAAATTAATTCATGTGAGGGAAACTAAATAACAAAGAAATGCCTGATAATAATAATAATAATACAAAGGATACATAGTATCATGGCTAGGAGGAAAAATTCTCCTCCTGAGTCATATTCCAGCTCCATCACTTACTAGGTGTGTGACTATGACAAGCTTTCTAACCTCTCTGTGGTTATCAGTTTCCTCATATGTAAAACTAGGGTAAAAACAATGCCTATCTCAGAAAGCTATTTTAAGGATCAAACACATAGGTGTGCATGCATGTGTTGTGTGCATATATGTTATCTTAAAAACATAACAAGGGCATAGTAAATACACTTAAAATATGTAAAATATGGGCCCTCCCTAGTGGCTCAGTGGGTTAAAGCACAGCACAAAGAAGCTTAAGCCACTTCTCATGAGTTCGATCCACGCCTGCCCTGGAGGGGATCCTCATGGCGAGGCAGACCTTTCCTGACCCGCCTGCTGCTCTCCTCAGCAGTGTACTTCATTGACCTGTCTGTTCTGCACCCCACTCTGTCTCTGGTGAATCCTCTCACCCTCTGCATGTCTGGTCTGTACCCCAGCTCTGTACGAATAAATAAATCTTTAAAAATATATATGTAAAATATTACAGAGAATATTCAACATAAAAGAATGTGCATGCTATTCTTAATGAATTTGTCACAATGATGTGTTTCTGGATACCTACCTTGTCACTAAAAGAATATTCCCTCATGACAAAAAGATTCAAAACCATTTTACAAAATTGCTTTTTATCTTATCTATAATCAATTAAAATAATCGTAGTCACTTACTTGCCCTTGGTGAGCCTTAAAAGAAACTTCCAGTAAGATGGTCGCAAATTCTGAACTTCCATGACAGCCTAAGATTATTCAATTTGTGAGAATTAATAGCAATACTATAGCAAGAGAGTAGGTTTATCTCTTTATTGATGATTGTATTTTTAAAATGACAGAGTTATGATGATAAAAAAACACGTATTTATGTTAAGTTAATAGCTATCAAAAATCTTTGTAAATGTGCCTTCAATTATTGGTTATGAAATAATAATTGAGTTGTCATTATTAGTAAGAATATGCCAAATACCATTAGTTAGCTGGTACTTTACTAGATATTCTAAGTTTATCAATTAGGCAGCATTACTATGATAAAGAACAAATAAAAGCAGTCTCCAAAATTCTACAAAATTCTGCAACAATACTAAAATTATCAACATCAATATGAATTTAAATACATTGGATACTGCTTCTATTAAATTATATTCTTTCCTCATCCTCACTGACTAATGTTGGGGTAATATATGTATTCTTATCTATGACTGTGGTATCTTTTTCTAGATGGAAGGCAGTTAAATTCGGGCATTCTAGTTAAAAACCTAAAAATCAGTGCATACATAACCAAGACATGGCCCATTAAGTTAACATGTTTAATGATTTGAAATGTGCAAGTTATTTTGCTTTCAAAAGAAATAAAGTGTAATAAATAGAAATGTTTTAGACCTTTATTTCTCCTTTATTTGTTTAATGTACACTAGAAACAGAATTCTATTTTTCACTTCAAAAAATTATACTTACTGCCTGGAAACAAATTGCTGTGGAGATGGAATAGATGATCGTATCTGCATGAGGAAAATAGGGGACCTTCCCTGCTTCAATGCCTTTGAAATACATTGTCTGCAAAATACGCAAAACAAAAAAGACTTAGTAGAGCAATACTTCTCTATCTACAACTATTTTCTCAAAATTCTAATAACCTTTTCAGAGCTTAAATTATAGTCACCACTTCCAGGAGGGTCAACCTTTCCCCTTTCCTCATTCTCTATCCCAAACCCCAGATGCCAAATAATACTTTTCTGTGATATTCAATAGCACTTTATTACCATCTCTTCTATCACTTATTCTTTAATACTTTTTTTGTATAATGCTCAGGACTTCCCTTTCCTGCTAGATCTATTCACTTAGGAAATTTTTAATAATGTTAACTCTATTCTAGATACTATGTCAAGAGTTAGGGATTTCAAAATGAATAAAATATGATCAATTCATAACAGAGATAACTAGTACATTCTAATGAGGTCATAAAATTGGCAGATGAAAGGATGTGTTTATATATTATAAATATGTACATTATATGTGTGTGTACACACATATACATATATACATACATGTGTATGCATGTGTGTGTGTGTGTATATATATATATATATATATATGAGACCTAGTATTGTTTAGAAGCTCTCTGAAGGAGAGCAGTACACTGCCTAGGACAAAGGACCAAAGAGAATCAAAAAGAATTTCGTAAATTACTATCATCAAGTAATAATTCTCAAACCATGTGGCAAAAAAGAACTACCTTAAAAAAAATCCAATTTCATGACTTAAAACTCTCATAATACAATAAAAATGAACTGCTAGAAAATAAATCGAAAAGCCCAACATTGAATCAAATTTTTACTACTACATTGCTATAAAAATTCTAAATATTTACTCTCGATTTCTGTACTTATTTTGTCATTGACTAACAACAGATAGCTCATGGACTAGCACTAGTACGATGATCACATTTGGGAAAGTGCTATGTAAGAAGCACTCCCTGGTGGCGCAGCGGGTTAAAGCACTGCACTGAGAAGCTAAAGCCACTTCCGCATGAGTTCGATTCCCGCCTGCCCAGGAGGTGACCACATGGCACAGCAGACCTCTCCTGACCCACCCACTGCACCCCTCAGCAGTGTACTTCGTCCATCTGCCTGTTCTGCTCCACACTCTGTCTCTGGTGAAGCCTTTCGCCACCCCTGAGCCTCTGGCCGGTACCCCAGTTCTGTCTACACAAATAAATAAATCTTAAAAAAAAAAAAAATAGGATCAACTAAGTAAGAGGACGAAAAGCTGTGGGAAGTAGAAATAAAACTTACAGTACTGTCAGCAAATTTAAATAATTAGAGCACATGATAATTCATAGAACTGGGTTTTCTAAATTGTAGGACAGGTAAAATAAAAATAGCAAGAAAAGTACAAAGTACAAAGACCATTGAGTTACAATAGGGTAGAGAGAAAGATGCAAGAAGTATGAGTGGCCTGTGAAATAATGAACATAGAATGAGAACTAAGATGAAGTCACTTAAGATGAAGACTGATGGTGACAACCTTCTTTCCTGTCTTTTCTTCAACACCTATCCTAGATTATGTGGTATTTGCTGAGTCAATCTATTGGGTTTTTAGAAAAATGAGATGCATTTTTGCTTGAAAATAGATTAAAAAAAGTCATGACTTATCGAACAATATTTTTTTTTTAGTGATATCTCAACTGATTTGCTATTTAAAAAAATCCCAAGTGATCAATACAAGCTTTCCTAACTATAGGGCCAAGCAACAAAAGGACACAATGAGGTGACTATGTTACATATGAATCATCACAGAGTATACAATGTGAAACAAATAAATGTTTAAACTACCAGGGGTTGGGATATGTAAAAACTCCAAGATATACAGTTATACTTGGGAAACAAGGTAAGAGATCACATGGTCCATTATATTGAAAATAAGACTGTATCGCAAAATACAGCTATCTTGTAGTGTATTCAGCTTGAAATAAATTAAATTTAGATGTGATAGAATGTCACAATAGAAATGTTATATGGAATAACTGTGTTCCTAGTTTTTTAAATTTGTTTTTATTGAAGTAACATTAATACATTTTTTCTACTGAACCAAGTTCTTAGTTAGAGAAGAACAGGGATGATATCCTTTACTTTCACATTTATCAGCAGCTAGCACATTAATGGGAATAAATAATCAGTAATATATTTTCAAATGTGTTTTACAAGAAAAAATTTGCCTTCACAACTTATTTTTACTTAATATAATCAGATAATATAACACCTTAATAAAACTATTAAGAAAATGATTGTCTATTAAACCAAAGTCATTACTTCAACAGAAGACACTATAAGCTTAAATTCCCTTTCTAGTTCCCTATATATATTTTTTTTTAAGATTTATTTATTTATGCATACAGAACTGGGGTACAGGCCAGAGGCTCAGGGGCGGCCGAGAGGCTTCACCAGAGACAGAGTGGGGAGCAGAACAGGCAGATCAACAAAGTACACTGCTGAGGGGAGCAGCGGGGGGGTCAGGAGAGGTCTGCCACGCCATGTGGTCACCTCCGGGGCAGGCGGGAATAGAACTCATGCGGAAGCGGCTTTAGATTCTCAGTGCTGTCCTTTAACCCGCTGCACCACCACGGAGGGCCTCTAGTTCCCTATATTTTAAAAAAAATTCTCAACAACACAGTTTAAATGCCAGTTTCTTTTGCCTAGATCAGATATGGTCTGATGACACAGGAAACAGAGTTTTTATAGTTGGCTGACTTAAAGAAAACTCTGGCTAGTTAGAGAAGCAGCTGTAAAATATTTCTTTTACAAACTAGAGCTCAAATAATATGTTTTTGCTACCTACAGGTTATGTTCCTTCTCTCACTCCTCTTTTCCTCTCATTAGCAAGTCTCGTTCACTCTTTTAGAAACATGCACCAAATTTGTACACTCAGTTAAATTTTTTTAAAGATTTATTTATTGATGCATATAGAATTGGGGTATAGGCAAAGGTACAGGGGTGGTGAGAGGATTCACCAGAGATGGAGTGGGGAGCCAAACAGGCAGATCAACAAGTATACAGCTGAGGGGAGTAGCAGGTGGGTCAGGAGAGGTCTGTCACACTATGTAGATGACCTCCAGGGCGGGGGATAGAACACCCAGTGAAGTGGCTGTGGCCTGCTTGCAGTGCTGCATCTTAACCCACTGTGTCACCAGGGAGGGCCTCAGTTCAATTTTTACTGTTACTATCTTGGTACAAGTCATTACGTCCTGCTTGAGACTAACTGCTCTCTCAGCTTCCAGGTGTGGCTCTCTACAATACATCCTCTATATCCTAGCAAGAATGTTCTGTTTTTATTATTTTTTTTTATTGAAGCATTATTAGTTTATAATATTATATATGATTTAGAGGTATAAGATTTCCCCTCCCCCTTTTATGGTGCTGTTGCCACACCACATACCCAATGTGAATTGTTATTTCTGTGTAAAACTCTAATCGTTGGTAAATAAAGGGATATGATCATTTTATCATGGGCATGTGAACAAACTAGTTCTTAGTGACCAAACAATTAAAAAGGGAAGATTTATTTAGAACTGTCTCTAATAAAGGCAGAAACAAAAATATTAGATTATTACCACTTTAGATCCCTCAGTCATGATCATTATTGGCTGCTAAAATTACCAGGTAAAAGGCTAACAGGAAACCTTACCTTGTCTCTAACAATATGGAGCCAAGACCAATCTTAGCATCATAAAAAGAAGACAACTAGGCAAATTTTGTGCCTCTTAATGTGATGCAGTAGCAATGTGCATATTAATACATTTATTTCTGACACACACACAAACCAGAAATTGAACCCAGAATGTGAGAAATTCCGCGTAAGTGGAACTTGATCTCAAACAAATAAATAATACAGAGAAAAAAATAAGTAAAAAGGTGAGAGAGGTAATTGCTATAAACAAAAAGGATTTTGCATCACAATTAAACAAAAAGATTGCATGAAGACATCTGTGGGACAATCAGTAAAAATATAAGCTCTAGTTAGATATATGATAATATGAAGGAGTTACTAGGTTTTTTTTTTTTTTAAAGTATGATTGTATTTTGGTTATTCTTCAATAATAAAACCAATTTGTTTGCTTTTAAGGAGTCTTTATCCTGAGTTGTTTAAGAATGAAGTGACATGATGCCGGGACTTGCTCTGAAATAAGTCAGCAGTTGGGGGACTGGATAGTACAGGTGAAACTTGCTGAAACTGTTGAACTGCATGCTGGGTATATCAGGGGTATGTGTATTATTCTTTCTACAATTGTGTATATTCACACACACAAAAAGGAAAAATAGGAAAACTAACTTTGTAAGAAGTTTTACAGGGCTACAATGTGCTTTGGTAATTGGGTAACATCTGCAACTTAAGTAACTAAAGCAGCTCTCTATCCTTTGCAACTGCACATGAATAAAAATGTTTACTTACCTCTACCAGTTTAGAAGCTAAATACATGGAAATTGTTGTGCTTTTATAAAACATCATTGATACACCTGCCAAAAATCCTGAAACAACAAAAAACTGATCAGATCTCAAAGTATTTCATTGTTATTGAAGTCATTAGAAAATTCTCATTAACTTATACAGGAAAAGAATTTATTTGTAGCACTACCTCTTATTACAATAAAATCAAAGCCAATAATACATTTGATGACATTGAATGGAGTGAGTTCTTAGCACCTTAATTTTAAATTAAAATTAGGCCTTCTGATTTAGGAACAAATAGTTGTAATACATATTACAAGAAAATTAACATTCTAATGTTAACTTAAAAACAAACAACAGTCGAAAAAGAAGAGTAACTTCCGGAAGATGGC